TAGGACAAAGTATGGCATCATAGATGATCTGAATAGTCAACTTCTTCAGAAAATGATAGAATTAAAGAAGAAAGATTGTTAAAGAAGTGAATAAGAATGGGAAGCTCCCACACCCGACGCCTCCGGAAGAGGGGGCATCATAATGTGGTGTCCTTGTTTCCCGCCACTGATACCAGAAGTTGTTATCTTTGTTTAGAATCTCAATTATTTGATGTGTCCCTTTATAGGCATACATAGCTTTAAGAACCCAGTTGGTTGAAGAAGATGAGGATGATGCTCTCTATGTATGCTGTAGAAGCTTGAAGAACCCAATTTTGAAACAAAAAGAATAAAATAAGAATAATGAAAGGAAGATGATAAGGCCACGTTTGGCAGTGCTTACCGACTTTTTGGTGGGATTTCGTGCCTGATCTTAGTTGTAATTAGTTTTGTCTTTTCGTGCCGCAGCAAAGGGTATTGGTTCCTTTTTAAAAATACCATCTTCTCCAAATCTGTGGTCCAGATTCCTCTTTTATCCCTTTCTTTTTTCATTCCATTATTAAATGTCTTTTTCCATCCTTTTCCTTATCATTTTTTATACCATTTATTTTAGTCTCTTAAATTTTTTAAAATACAAAAAAAAAAAAAAAAAAATCATTATTATATTATTTTATTATCTAATATTCATCTTATTAACACCGCCAACCTCAACCCACTCAACTCTACAAGCACATCTTGGGAATTTGAGTAAACATTTACCCGACTCTTTCCACAAATAAGAATAAATTCACTAGACCTCTCTTTTTATGAGTTCATTAAGAAGAAACTTATAAAATTCAAAATCTTGAACCTCTATAGACAAAATTTATAATATATCAAATTATCAAATTATTTTTCTTGTATCTATTTAATTTCTAAATTTCGATGTAATATTAGAAAATGGTTAAATATCATTAAATAAGAATCTAGTTACCAAAAAACTAGGAACTAAGAGCTTCTCCCTTATCATATCACATTTAAATTATGTAGCTATTATATATTTTTTTAAGAAAAGTTATAGACTTGGATAGGCATAGTCAAGCAATTTCAGTTAAAATAATCTTCCTTTTTATCTTGTAAGTATATTTGTTTAATATCACCACCACCTTCTCTTTCTTATAATATTACATTACACATTGGTGAGACACATTATTTAGATCTACATCTCATTTTATATGCATATAGACTAACTATATCAAATATTATTATAATTATTTACTTCTAAAACAAACTCAAGTTGTCACGTTAGGGTTAAAAAATTTAGATATTTTTATAATGACCGACTCGAAAACAAGGTTCTAACCCAACTTTTTTAAATGTTAAAAATATTTAACGTTTGTAATCAATGTAATACGATGTGATTTGTAAATATTTAATGCCGAAATTTTAGTTATTAATGTAATATGTATGGTAGATAAATATGTTTTTTTTTAAATAATAATAAAATAAATATACAATCCGACAACCCAACTTAACTCAACTTCTCAGGTTCGGTGGTAAACTTTATTCGAGTTTGATCGACCAATTCACCTGTAGCTAAATTCTTCTTCAATTTCTCTCTTTCTCACGGGAGCAATAATTTTTAGGAATGGAAAAAATATATATTAAAAATTTTCATTAATTTAACTTATTATTATTATAAAAAAATAAAAAATAAAAAAACAAAACAAACAAACAAATAGCTTCAAATTGTCATTTGGGACGACAACAAGAATGGGGTGACGTAAGTTTCTCAGTCACCAATTTCAAACTTTTCAGCTTGTATCCCATTGTACGGACAATGATAAGATGACGTCATTCAAGTATTTTAATTATTGTTTTTTTTAATAAATAAAATCATTTTAATTACTTTTAAGTTAATTTCTTTTTTGTTATTGCTAAATTCTATTTGACTTTGACTTCAATTTACTTTGATTTAGCTCCTCTACCTAGTTGATATAAATTTATTCATTAATTACTATAAGCTTATTGGTAATTAAATATTAATAAAATAAAATACCACCTAATTACAACACAGAAATTATAATTAAAAAATAATAAAAAAAAGATTAAAATTTCATTGTATTAGAGTAGTGAATCGGACAAAATATTTATATACTAGGAAGATGAAAAAAAAATATATAAAGTAAATGAATTACAAATATTTAAAGAAAAAAATATATTATTTTATGGAAAAAGGGGTAAAAAAAAAACGTGATAATTTTGTAAATATTAATAAGATTAATCTGACCATACACAAATTATAGTTTAATAAATGGTAATTAAATTTAGAAAATTTCCAATTTTGTCGGCTAAACTGCTCTAGCTGACTTTTTTAAAAATCTATTTTAATGTATTTATTTATTTATGCAATAAAAAAATAAAAAAATAATATTTCTTCTTCCCTTGGTTGAAATTCGAAACCTTGAAACCGCTTTTAGAATGGCGGTATTGTTGACTTTAGTTGTCAAAGTCTTTTTAAGAACACGAGGTTTACCAAATTTATTTATTTTAATTATTTAATTGTATTTAAAATCCATAAGTAAGTAAATATTGTTTGTCGTATTCCATTAAATATTTAATTGAATATATTGAAATTTTAGATTATTTAAAAAATAAAAAATCAGTAAATTTTTATATGAAAATATTTATTTTAAATAATTTATCAAATTTAATTAAATCACAAAAATATATTAAAAAAAAAATCGAATTAAGCACAATAATTAAAAAATAAATAATAATATATGGTTTAGGCACGAAAATTACATTTTTATCCCCCATTCATCTTAACAAAGAGAATAAAATTAAAGTTTATTATTATTATTACTATTTTACTTTCAATTTTATAGATTAAACAAAAATTAAGACCATAATTAATCAAGTTTATGAAAACCTTAATCAATTAATGTTTTATACAAATTATTTTGTAGACTTTTATATATACATCATTTTCTCAAATAATTTATTAAATATTTACCGGTAAAGAAAAAAAAATATAGTTTAATTTAAAAATTAATGCAATGAATAAAAATGTCATGTGGGTACTATGTAAAATTTTTAATTCACATTCATACGTGTTGTAAATGAGAGGCAGTTCGTGGTTGACTATTTCAAAACACGAGCACCAACTTGAGTTGTTCCTAATAAATTTAGTTGACTTTTTTTTTATCAAAGTCCACTCCTAGTTGTGTAGTGAGTATACCAACCAGCAATATAGCATTAGTTTTATTAATCGGTAAATAAAAATTAATTAAGAAAACTCCAACTTTTTTTGTTTCATTATATGTTTGTTGTGAATACTCTAGTTTAGTGACTCGGTAACAACCGTAATATTTAGAGCTTAAATTAATATTCAATACGTTAAAATATGGTATGCAACGTTGTTAGAAACATATATATTAAGATAATAGAAGGTCGTTAATTTTTTCTCCTATTTATTATTATTTTTTTTTTTGCAAATCACAAGTTAGTATGATATTGTCCACTTTGAGCGTAGACACTAAATTAGTCAACGTGGGACTTTCATCCAACATTTGGTCTCGAACGAGGTATAAAATTTGATAAATTTGTCAAAATGAATACAACTGAACTAATAGAAAAAATACTCAAACTTTCACCGACAGGCTCGGTGGAAGATGCGAAGAAAGAAATAGTAATAATATTAATAATAATAAAAGGAAATAATTGATATTATTGTAGTATTGATTCTAAATTAGGTAATCTTGAAGAATTGAGAAGGTTTGACTTTTATAGATTCTAACTCGGAGGCTGACTCGGGTGAGTTATGGGTCGAGTCAGCTATTTTGGATCCATATAGAAAGCATCAATATATCGTTAGGCATTTAAGATGGCTTCATTTTCAAACTTTATGAGAAAGTAAAGACTTTTGATACACAAAATGTCTTGTAGAAGCCAAGTCGGCTATGATTATTTATGACTCAAAATATCTCTCCCCAACCTTATCTTCCTTTTTTTGTCTTTTACTACGGTCTTCGATCAAAAAATTTATTTTAATGTCTACGTAACAACCATATAACATGTCAAGTTACGTAGGATCTCATATCGGTTGGAGAGATAACATAAGGTTGTGAAAATTTCTTCATAGTAAACATGTTTTAAAATTGGAGGCTGACGGCGATACGTAGCGGGTCGAAATGAACAATATCTACTAGTGGTAGGCTTGGGCTGTTACAAATGGTATCAGAGCCAAACATTGGACGATGTGCCAACAAGGACGTTGGGCCCACAAGAGAGTGGATTGTGAGATTTTATGTCAGTTGGAAAGGAAAACAAAACATTAATTATAAGGGAAATTCTTTGAAAAGAAGCCCAGACAATACCGATTAATGGTAGATTTAAGCTTGATCGATTAAGATTATTAACATCCTCCTTTTTGTTTTACAGTCGAATAATATCTTTAAATGTGATAGTTGATTTTTTTTTGAATTTTTATTTCATTAAAATAGAATAAAATTTTGAAAATTTTCATTTATTACTAATCATGTAGTATTAAAAAAAAAAAAAAAGAGTCGAGTGAATAAAACAATAATTATATATGTCAAACTTTTATTCCTATCCAATTAAAAATAATTTTGCTAATTTTAATTTTAATTTGTTATTAATAAACAATAATTATCTTGATTTTTTTTTAATAATTAATATTAAACTTTATAGTTAAAATATTGTTTATTAAGTGAACTGTGTAATTTAATGTATAAGCGGAATGTCTTGCGGAAATAATAGCAAAATGAATAATAAAATTTAATTGTTTTAAATATTTATATATATAATAATGTTATTTTAACAAAAATGATAAATAAATTGAAAAAACTACGTCAAAAATCTCGAGGGGGCGGAGGATGACCGTTTTGGTCAACGAAAATCTGATGTCACGGATCAGATTTCCACATTCATGAATGGCATTTTATGTAATAATTTGCAAAATCAAGGGTGTTTGTATAATACAAACCCCTTAAATAAATGAACAGGCGGCTCAATGGGTTATCGCCATTTGCTCTTCTTCTTCTTCTTCTTCTTCTTCTTCTTCTTCTTCTTCTTCTTCTTCTTCTACGCTTGGAAGTTATAGTGAAGCGCTTTCAGTATAAGAATCATCGATTTTATTGCTCAGATTGCTTCATAAGAATCTCTTGTCTTGATTTTGCAAGTTTTTGAGGTGAGAAAGATTGAAAATGGTGATTGTCTAGAATTGAAGTTTTTTTCTGTTCTTGGATTATGCTTACTGTTGTGTGTTTTTATGCTCTGTTTGCAGACTTTGGGTTTTGATTTTGTTTGAATCCATTGAAAACAGTTTTTGGGATTTGGAATTTCGTCGAACAGTTTAGGGGCACTATGAGCCTTCTTTGCAGTCCAAATTTCAAATTCTCCAACGACGAAGTGAAGAAATACCCTGATTTTATGGATTGCGATTCAACGAACAATCATGTTTCTCAACAAGAAAACCCTAACTCTGCTCCGCACTCTCTGTTTGCGAGTCTAGTGAATGGAACTGAAGGTTTTGATTCGAGCAACAATGGCGGTGGGGGCCGTGAGGATTATCGCTTCATTCGATCTTCGAGCCCTGGGGTGGAGGCTTTTTTGTCTAGGTTTATGGCGTCGTATAATGAAGAAACCTTTGATTCGGGGTCTGATGAGAGGGCGGTGAAACAAGAAATGGGGGAATCGGTGCGACAACATAATGAGTTCTGTAATCAATCCTCTTCAATGGTTAATTCTGCTGGTGGAGCTCAGATTGGAAATTTATTTCGTGTTATGAATTCTTCTGATTATGGTGCGAGGAATTCCGCTAATCTTTTCAGGCAAAGTAGCTCTCCTGCTGGGTTTTTCTCTAATTTGGCTCCTCAAAATGGTATGAAATCCCTTTTTGGTTTATGTTTTGGTTCTTGTTCTTTCATATTTGTGAAGTTCTTAGCTCCAAATCTGAATTTGGTTTGATTTCTTGTGAAAATATGGATTGCTTCATCTTCTTGTACTCTTTAAGAATCTGACCCCGTAAGAACTCGAGCAAAAGGCTACTGAATGGGCCTATTTCTTGTTGTAAGAGTCCAAGTCCATCGCTAGTCGATATTGTTCTCTTTGATCTCTTTGAGCTTAAACTTTGACTTCCCTCGGGTTTTAAAACACTTCTGTTAGGTGGAAGTTTCCACACACTTATAAGGAATGTTTGGTTCTCCTTACCAACCGACATGGGGTTTCACAATTAGTTGGAGAGGGGAACGAAGCATTCTTTGTAAGAGTGTGAAAACCTCTCCTTAGTAGATGTGTATTAAAACCTTGAAGGAAAGCCCACCCGAAAGGGAAGCTCAAAGTGGACAATATCTAATTGGGGTGAGCTTGGGCTGTTACACTTTGCTTTCTTTCACTCTTAGAACAAATTCTGAGTCACTTTTTAACAGGACTACCTCTTCTCTTGATGACTAGCAGGCAATGCTGCGAGGGATATCCAGAAGTTTGGGAGTTGCAGCAGAAAAGATGTGGATGTTGCTTATCCATATAGCCGGATTGGTAGCCAGATGAACATATCTGGGCAATCGTTTGCCTCAACCCATATGCCTCCAATTGCAGAAGAGGAGAATAAAAGGATAAGAGCTGTAAGAAGTTCTTGGGATAGCTCAACAATCAGAGACTTAAAAAGAGGGAGAGATAACAATGGACGCACGTTTCCAACATCAATCCTGCTTGAGACTCAGGTACATCTTATACAGTTCTTGGACCTGCCAAGTTTTGTCTGCTTCATGTGCTTTGAAACTTAGTTTGTGTGAGATCCTATATCGACGGGAGAGGGGAATGAAGCAATCCTTACAAGGGTGTAGAAATCTCTCGCTAGTAGACATTTTTTAAAAACCGTTAGAATGACGGTCATACGTAACGGGCCAAACGGACAACTAACCGTGGGCTTGGGCTGTTACAAATGGTATCAGAGCCAGACACTAGGCGATATACCAGCGAGAACGCTGACTCCCAAGGGGGTGGATTGTAAGATCCCACGTCGACTGGAGAGGGGAACGAAGTATTCCTTACAAGGGTGTGGAAACCTCTTCCCAGTAGATGTGTTTCAAAAACTGTGAGGCGGTTTTACGTAACCGGTCAAAGTGGACAATATCTGCTGGAGATGGGGTTTGTGTTTTTACAACTGGTATTAGAGCCAGACACCTGGCGATATGCCAGCGAGGACCTTAACTCCTAAGAGATGGATTGTGAGATTCCAAATCGGTTGGAGAGGGGAATGAAGCATTTTAAAAACCGTGAGGCTAGCAGCAATACGTAAACGGGCCAAAGTTGACAATATCTACCTGCAACCGTTTGGCTTAGCACTCTTTGTTCTGCAGAATGCTGATTCAGGAAATGACATTCGTGGATTGGCTCATCATTTGAGCTTACCTATAACTTTCAACAAGGACCCAGTGGAGAAGTTTCTGAGATTTGAAGAGCCAGTTCGCCACCAAATTCGAGCAAAAAGAGGATGCGCCACACACCCACGAAGCATCGCAGAGCGGGTAGATCGATCAATCCATCCTCTCTTTGTTCAATCAAACTCTCATTGATTGTGCTATTCTAATGAACTGTAACGCACAAATTCTTGAATTTGCAGATGAGAAGAATCCGAATTAGTGAGCGAATGAAGAAACTGCAGGAGCTGTTTCCTGACATGGACAAGGTAATTATCCTCAGCCCACCTCATAAATCTTTCATACACCGCACAGTTTTGATATCTAAACACTCTTCCTTGCAGCAGACAAGCACAGCTGATATGCTAGAGCTGGCCATTGAATACATTAAAGGCCTGCAGAGACAGGTCAAGGTAGCCTCCTAACAACACAAAGTTAATGAAATCACATGAACATCCAACCAACCAACGCCTTTTACTCACAAAAGCTTTGTCTTTCTTGCAGACCCTTACCGATACGAAAGCGAAATGCACGTGCTCGGGTCAATAACAAGAACCCAGAAAAATGATCTGTACAGACCACATAGTAAGCTTAAAGGAACATGAAGATACAAGAAAGAAGAACACAACATTGTGTACTCTATTTAAAAGTTGTAGGATTTAAGGAGATTGTCTGTCATAGAATCTATTGTAAGTTACAAGTTCAATGTAAAAGATCATTCATTCAGCAATATCTAATTGAATAATTTGCTTTCTGGCATGTAAATGTGCTTGTTGGATCATCATATGCATAGCTATAAGCCATCGGACAAGCTAACTTGAACGCTTTCGAGTAAACCGTCGGTTTGCACGTCTGCGGGCTGCCATATGCACCAGTGCAGCAATACTCTGGCTTGTCGAAAGCCAAGCATGCACTCTGACAAGCAACAACCGTACCGTTCTTCTTCATCTCCAAACCATGGGGGCATTGTCGATTCAAGTCCGACAGGCATTTCACCATTTGACAATTCCCAGAGCCACCAGATGGGGATATGGAAATTGGCATGTTATAGCCATCAACAAGGCTAACATCATAGAAATCCAAAGGACTGTCTAAGGTGAACTCTGCAAGTGTAGCAGGCGGGGCACCTCCGGCCCCTGCACATTTAAGCACGCCACCGCAGTCGCCCGTTTCGCACCTTCCATTGCCGGAGACATCGAAGGAACATCCACGACGACCCCAGAATCGGCCAGACCATTCAGCAGGCACATTGATCGTTATGATCTCGCCAGGCTTAAGCTGAAATCCGCCGCTCATGAGCTGAGGCTTCCCAGCTCCTGGTTGGATTCCTGGCCATATTATGCCACTACATTTGTTCTCCAAAGTGAAAACTGCCGCATCAGTGCCTGAAAAGGAAAGGTATGAATCAAAACACGTTAGAAAGAGAGAAAAAAAGAGAGATTTGTGGTTGGTACCCATAAAAAAGCACAAAAGCAGAAGCAAAAACTGGAAGAACTCCATGGGAGCAGCAAAATGGAAGCATGGAAGAGTTGTTTTTAAGGGCAATTTTCTGACCCTGAACATATAAGAATGGGTGGCAAAACTATAACGACAAAGTCAATAACTTGTCACATGATGATGAATGTCTTGAGCCTTAAAAAGTTACCAAAATTGGGTGCCAAAACTCCCTACCAGTTGATTATGAAGCCTAACAACAAAAAGTAAGCCAATTTATCAGCATTGATGGGTTAGGTTGAGCTTTTGAAAACAACGTTACTTTCCACCGTAAGAATCATGTGATGATTCGATGAGATCGAAAATTTTGCAGAAACAGATAATGAAATAGGTGACAGAGATGAGAACATGAAATAGGTGGTAGGGATGAAAACAGAAAATGTTTCCCATCTTTGCCCCCTCCCCGTGGACATCTCTAAGTATAACTTGATGCTTAATATCATCGGAAACATCCATAGTTGAATCAAAATCTCATGAAACAAACCAAACATATATCGTCCTAAAATATAAAAGCTTTATGGGGCATGAAATGTGCAATGTCATGCTTTGCGTGATTGACATGTGATCCATGTAAACAGGGCCTTCTTGGGCCATGGTTCTACTTTTAGATATTGATGTCGGGCCACCTTCTTAAATGGGCCATGGGCTCTATTTTTACATATTGATGATGGGCCACCTTCTTAAATGGGCCATGGCTCTACTTTTACATATTGATGTTGGGCCACCTTCTTAAAAGGGCCATGGGCTCTATTTTTACATATTGATGTTGGGCCACCTTCTTAAATGGGCCATGGCTCTACTTTTACATATTGATGTTGGGCCTCCTTCTTAAATGGGCCATGGCTCTACTTTTAAATATTGATGTTGGGCCACCTTCTTAAAAGGGCCATGGGCTCTATTTTTACATATTGATGTTGGGCCACCTTCTTAAATGGGCCATGGCTCTACTTTTACATATTGATGTTGGGCCACCTTCTTAAAAGGGCCATGGGCTATATTTTTACATATTTATGTTGGGCCACCTTCTTAAATGGGCCATGGGCTCTACTTTTACATATTGATGTTGGGCCACCTTCTTAAATGGGTCATGGCTCTATTTTTACATTGATATTGGGCCACCTTCTTAACGAGGCCCAATAAGACTTTAATCCAACCGATACTTCTACAATTGACAATTCTTATTAAACTAAAATAAAGACGTAGATTATATTTAAATAAAAATTAAGTTAATAAAAATACAAAATTTTATACTTTAAAAAAAAATCCTAAATTTTTGAATAATACACTTAAAATATTAAAAAGTTTAAAATTTTCTTTAAATTATCAAATTTTCATTAATATTTTAAGCTTTTTTAAAAGCGTAAAAAAATCGATATTTTTCAAAATTTTAAGGGTAATATTGAAATATTTAAAAATTCAATATTATTTTCTAGACAAAATATAAATTCAAACCATTTTTATTAATTTAGCCATAAATAAATTACCTCTTTTTAATCTACAATTATCATAATAATTAACCATTAGTTTTTCTTTTGAATAATATAATTTTTAATAACTATTGAAGTCAAAGCACATCCTAAAGAACTAATAAAATATTATTAAAATTAAACAACGTAAAATTTGATAAATTACTTTTGACTCTTCAACTATCAAATTTAATTACTTAATTTGATTATAGAAATATTATAAAACTATAAATTAAAAATAAAAAATTATTAAAATATGTGAATTCTTGTTGAGTTGGTCTCAACATGTTTGGTCGATGCCAAACTAAATAAAAAAATAAAGTTGGAAAAATAATTATAATTTTTGGAATTAGTCTTTAGAGCTTATGAAAATTAATTTAATTTTATATTCTCATCTTCAACTTTGGTACAGATAATGATGTAATATTTTATTTGATAAAAATAAGGAAATATATAAATATATAATTTATGAAGATTTATGTGATTTGTTTGTTGTAATAAAAAATGTTTGGAATCATTGAAAGATACTATGTCAATGCCCACACATCCACGTTTTATTAATTTATTTCCTTATTATATGATTTATTTAAAATTCGTAAAGTCAAAGGTCAAACTTCCCACATGACACAGATTTAACCTATTCCCATTAATTAATTATTATTACGTGTGACGTATGAGTTTAACCTACAATTTTATATACTATTCTGTGTCCTAATTATTTGATTAAATTAAGGTTATTTTGTTTCATTATGACCCGTGATTCTAAGTTTAGGATATTTTTCAAGTGTCAGAAAGGATGCTGGGTCCTGAAAGAAGTGAATTGTGAGATCTCACATCGGTTGGAGAGGAAAACGAAACATTCTTTATAATGAGTGGAAACCTCTCCCTAACATACACGTTTTAAAGAGTTTAGAGAAAATCTAACAATATCTGCTAACGGTGAGCTTGAGCTGTTACAAATATTCAACCATAAAACTTTTGTATATCCCGACAATATTTGCGTACGCAGGATATAATTGATATTTTAATAGAAAAAGGACAGTGATATGAACCAAGAGACATCAATCATACAATATGCTTCAATGAAGATGTGAAGAAAAGGTTGTCAAAATTATCAAAAGATGTTTCAATTCATGCTACATCGAAGAAGAATAAAGTTTTGATTGTTGTAAATTTTGGGTGGGTTATAATTTAGAGTTATTGTGTTTTAAGACTTTTTATTTAATTTCGGTTACATTTACATAATGGCTAATTATGGCCATAAAGTGTGAATGTTACAACTTTTGGAATGTCTTTAATAGTTTCATTTTGAGGCTATATAAAGCCATCTATGTTGTATTTGTAATCAGACTGGGAAAATATATTAAAAGAAGCATTTGTGCTTTTCTTTAGCCAATGGCTAATTTTCTTTGCAATTCTATGTAGTTTAGATTGCATGTAGAATCATTCAAGCTCGACATGATCAATCTTGCTTGTGGAGTGATTCGAATCTCAAACAAGTGTTCTTGCGTGAGATATTTGATCAACAAGAATCATTCAAGCTAGACATGATCGATCTTGCTTGTGGAGTGGTTCGAATCTCAAACAATGTTCTTGCCTTGAGATATTCGATCAACAAGGTAATCCGAATCTTATTCCCCTTGTAGTTGATTCCTTATCTTATCATTTGGTATCAATGCTCCAGGCTCAAGATCGGATATATGTTTCCTTTGCGTTTCTTCTCAATTTAATTTTTATTTATTTTCATCTTTTTAGTTTTTAATCGACCCAAAGTTCAAAATTCAATCTTTGCTCTATTTAAAATTTTGAGAGGTGAGAATGAGAGCTTCATTTGTGTAAATGAGTGCAAACAGAGTGGCCTAAAATTCCTTGAGTGTATACATGTGAGAGAGTGTTGTGAGGTCCTTTATATTTCCATAACTTATTTTTGCAGCAAAGTTTCACAAATAGATTCGAGGACGAATCCTCTTGAAGAAGTGGAGAATGATATGAACCAAGAGACATCAATCATACAATATGCTTCAATGAAGATGTAAAGAAAAGATTGTCAAAATTATCAAAAGATGTTTCAATTCATGATACATTGAAGAAGAATAAAGTTTGATTGTTGTAAATTTTGGGTGGGTTATAATTTAGAGTTATTGTATTTTAAGACTTTTTATTTAATTTCGGTTACATTTACATAATGGTTAATTATGGCCATAAAGTGTGAATGTTACCACTTTTAGAATGGAATGCCTTTAATAGTTTTATTTTGAGGCTATATAAAGCCATCTATGTTGTATTTGTAAGGCAGACTTAGAAGATATATCAAAAGAAGCATTTGTGCATTTCTTTAGCCAATGACTAAGTTTTTTTGCAACTCTATGTAGTTTAGGTTGCATGTAGAATCATTCAAGCTCGATATGATCAATCTTGCTTGTGAAGTGATTCGAATCTCAAACAAGTGTTTGAGATATTTGATCAACAAGAATCATTGAAGCTAGACATGATCGATCTTGCTTTTGGAGTGATTCGAATCTCAAACAAAGTGTTCTTGACTTGAGATATTCGATCGACAAGGTAATCCGAATCTTATTCCCCTGGTATTGATTCCTTATCTTATCAGACACTTTATTATTTGTAAAAAAAAAAAAAACAAGTGGTAATTAAGAAGTAAACAATAAAATACATATTATTTCCTTCTCTCTCTCTTAAAATATTTGAAATTTATTATTATTATTTTTTAATTAGAACCAAAAGGGTTGAACTTGACAACAGGAATGCAGTTGA